AGAGACTGGATTTGAGTTACTGACGGCTGAGTGCAGTCCAGTACTGAATGGTAAGCAATTGGACGACAAGTTTTGCGATACTGTGAACGGAAGGCAACCGATGAGCGCCGTGTGTACGACACTTGTCAATGGCTTGGGATCCGATGTTAGCTCCGGTAACCCATCGACTACTCGAGCGGTAAGAACTGCTATTATTTTGGTTTTAACTGTTATTATATTGAAATTATTATTTGGTTTCCACGACCAGACCGTCAGACCGGACCCAAAGTCCACCGCCTGTCCTCACTGTCCGTCCACTTCTGGTTTGGTATTATTGGCGGCAATAGTGGTGTCGATAGCCGGAGATGTCTATGGCTTTTGATGTGTAATTCATGCCATTATTTCATCCCTTATTTTGTGTCCAAATTGTTATCAAATTATTTATTGTGTTTTCATTTCAAAGTTTGTTTTATAGATTTTAAGTTCATTTTGTTTTTTTTAGTTCAAACCAGATGTAGTTATTTTGTTGATTGTATTTCTTATAATTTTGTAATTAAAATATATGTATGAATTCATTTACATTGATATGTGTTATACGATATAACTTATACCTATTGTTAAGTCATTTCTTACTTCACGTAAAACTCAAACATTTGTCTGAATTTCTAAAACTGGAAATTATTTCATAATTGAAAATCAATTGTAAAAATGTTTATCTGTTGAACACATCCATAGATCTGATCCATTGATTCAATGATCATATCGTTTGAAAAGCATTGAAACACACGAACCGAAAACAGAGTTGTGATACCGAGAGAGAGAGAGAGAGAGAGAGAGTCGATGTCTACGGCTTTTGATGTGTAATTCAAGCTTTCATTTCATTCGCTATTTTGTGTTCAAAATGTTATCACATTTTTACTTGCATTTCATAATATGCTCATGTATTAAATAGTAATAATTAAATATTTTAATACAAGTAATACAACCACACTAATACTATTTACACTTATAAAAACTTACATAAGTAAGTAACTTTATTAAATATAAATATTATGTTTACATTTAAAATTATATTTATGTTTTGCAAGTTTTCCGTAAGTGTATAACTTTAATAAGAATAACACTATAATATAAACAGACATTTGATAGCTTAACTAAAATAAAACAAATTAAGTAATTGTAAATTAACACGTTAATAGTTTTATTTAATTTATTAATTTTAAAAAATTAATAAAAATTTCCGATAACATAATTTGAATATTTAAATCTTTACTGTGAATTAAATACTGGCAATTATTTAACACAAGTAATCAAGTTATAATAATATAAATATAATAATTAAATTATTACATCACAAGACAATAAAAATTGTTTAAAGGTAATAATCAGCCCAAACACCATCACAAGTCTCGTGAAACGGGTCGTCGAGTACTAGCGGTATATTTTTGGGGTCCAATCCTTTCACTTTGGGTCCACTCATAGAGTCATTGTTTAACAGTTGCGGCCATTCAGAGTCCATGTGACTAAAATGATCATCATTAGTTAATAAATAATTGTATTTAAAATTACTTAGCCTTACAAAAAATTAAATGTTAATTATTTATATTTAAAACTGTTCAAATCAAAAATGCTTAATCAAATCAGAAAACTAAACATGTTCATTTACCCATCGGTGGCAAACTTAGCCCACATTTTTACCACATAATTAGCGTAATAGATATCTTCGTTGCTATAATCACTGGGATTAAGTAGAGGTAAACCAAACACAAACGGTATATCCATACCGTGGCAAACGCCCTGGGTGGTTAAATCGCACGTGGTCTGTTTGGCAAACCGCTCGCTGGCGTATAACAACTCGTAAAAGTAAACCCTTTGGGACTCTTTGACTGTCTGTGCAAACCGTTTGGCGAACAGATATGTCGGACAACCGAGTATTAGGTCACCTATTAGTGAGCCAAATGCCTTTCGCAGTGCTGCCGATTGGGTAGTGTTGACATCTTTCAGATAATATTGCGGTACTTTCTGCGCGTTCACGTTGTGATAGCCGAGTGAGTCGAGCACTTGTAGCCCTTGGTAAAAGTCGGCGAGTGTCATATGAGCAGGGTTTTTGATGGCAATTTCAACAAACCCTGGGCCCTCGTCGTGTACAATGCCAGCGATTAAATCAATGTCTATTTAATTGTGGTGAAGGTTATTTAAATTACATGATTATAGATATGTGTAAATAAATATACAATAAATTAATGTTACCTAAAATTTTTGCATTAAAAGTGTTTTTTGTTGTTTTCTATTTTACTTTGTAGTGTTTAATATTGTATTAAATTTTTATTGTGTAAAAATGTATTCAATTTAATAGTAATATTATATATTAGTAAATAAATTTTTAAAAATATTATTACCTTGATTAAATTTTTTCTCATTGAATGCCTGTCGGGCAGAAATGGGCAAAAACTCGGTGCCAAACACCGGGTAAGTGGCGATTGGGTTCACATATTTCAGTATATCTTTGGGATCCGCTCTTCGTAGACATTGCACCCAATCCTCCGATTCATTGCATTTCAATCCTATGGCAATGGCTTTGGCCTGAGATAAGGCCTCAGTTGTATTGACAACACCCCTATCCTTGTTATACATTTGGGCCCCACTTTCCATAATAGCCCTCTTGAATAGGCCTTTGGATAGCGGGGAGAGTATGTGTGCGGACACCGACCAACTCCCGGCGCTCTNTCCGGTCTGACGGTCTGGTCGTGGAAACCAAATAATAATTTCAATATAATAACAGTTAAAACCAAAATAATAGCAGTTCTTACCGCTCGAGTAGTCGATGGGTTACCGGAGCTAACATCGGATCCCAAGCCATTGACAAGTGTCGTACACACGGCGCTCATCGGTTGCCTTCCGTTCACAGTATCGCAAAACTTGTCGTCCAATTGCTTACCATTCAGTACTGGACTGCACTCAGCCGTCAGTAACTCAAATCCAGTCTCTTTGCCGTCGGTTTTAGTGCACTTCTTGTGAACCTAACCCACCATTGAATCAATGGTCACAATATTTATCACATATTATTACGTAAGAAAGTGTCGTATAAAACAGCATATGATTGGCAAACAGTACAGTAAAGTACATACCAGTGGTCGACGGGCGACAAGAATGTCATACTGACGGCAACAGTCGTATTGCTCGTAATGGTCGGCCGACGCGTTTCCCGACCACCTCTTGTCTATACACTCTTTAAATTTGGCCCGCGTTTCGTCGCTCAGGACCAGCCCTTTGTCGCCGCACTCGTAACCAAAGTCGTGGCCAATATCCGCACCGGCAGTGCCTCCGCCGATGAGCGCCACCACAGCTATGATAGCGCTGAGAGTGGAGAGCATTGTCTCAGTTGTCACAACACGAGTGTTCAGTCAGTCAAGTATTGAGTCAATCAATTGTAAGGATCTGTCGATGCGTTCAACGGTTTGTTCACAATTGGTATTGAGTTATGAAATGATTGTTTGTTTTAGAAATTGTGAAAATTGTTTGAATTTTTTATTTCACGTGAAGTAAGGGAATGGCTTAACAATAGGTATAACACATATCAATGCAAATGAATTAATTGAGATTTTTAATAACAATATGTATAAGAAATACAATCAATAAAATAACTACATTTGGTTTGAACTGAAAAACAAAATTAAATAAAAATCTATAAAAACATAAACTTTAAATATCAAAACATGTAAAAGTAAAATAAATACAATAACACAAAAACACAATTTTAGGTTACATCACTTTTTTGTATTGTTTTTATCACTATATTGGACCTAAAGTGCTGTATCTTTGAGTGCTGGGTATCTCCCTCTGCTATGCTTAATAACGCTAACACAATATTTTGTACAGTTAAAGGCGTAATAAAGGCGTACCCAGCACTCAAAGGCACAGCACTTTAGGTCCAATATAGTAATCATATAATTTAAATAATTTTTACACAATTAAATAGACATTGATTTAATCGCTGGTATTGTGCACGACGAGGGCCCAGGATTTGTTGAAATTGCCATCAAAGACCCTGCTCATATGACATTGATCGCCTTTTACAACGGGCTAAAAGTACTTGACTCACTCGGCTATCACAACGTGAACCCGCAGAAAATACCGGAATATTACTTGAAAGGTGTCAACACTAGCCAATCGGCTGAACTGCGAAAGGCATTTGGCTCACTCATAGGTGACCTAATACTTTGTTGTCCGACATATCTGTTCGCCAAACGGTTCGCACAAACTGTCAAAGAGTCACAAAGGGTTTACTTTTACGAGTTGTTATACGCCAGCGAGCGGTTTGCCAAACAGACCACGTGCGATTTAACCACCCAGGGCGTTTGCCATGGTATGGACATACCATTTGTGTTTGGGTTGCCTCTACTTTACTCCGATGATTATAGCCCCGAAGATATCTATTACGCTAATTATGTGATTAAAATGTGGGCTAAGTTTGCCACCGATGGGTAAATGAACATGTTTAATATTTTATTTAACATTTTTTATTTGAACACTTTTAAATATATATAATTATTAGTTATATTAATTACTTATTAATTAACATTTATTTTTTATGAGGCTAACTAAATTTAAATACAATTAATTATTAAATAAACATGATCATTTTAGTCATATGAACTCTGAATGGCCTCAACTGTTAAACAATGACTCTATGAGTGGACCCAAAGTGAAAGGATTGGACCCCAAAAATATACCACTAGTACTCGACGACCCGTTTCACGGGACTTGTGATGGTGTTTGGGCTGATTATTACCTTTAAACAACTTGTATTATCTTGTGATTTAATTATTAAATTTTTATTATTATAACTTAATTACTTGTATTAAATAATTGTCTGGTAATTTAGTTCATAGTAAAAATTATAAATGTGAGAAATATTCTGCAATAAATTGTTTGTATTTTTTAAAATTAATTAATTAAATATAATTATATAACTAATTACATGGTAATTTACACTTGAGTTATTTGTTTTATTTTTATTAAGCTATAAAAATCATAAAGTTAAGTTCTGTACTACTTTATTAATTTACTGATAAACTTAATACTAGATATTAATTGCAAAAATTTAATATTTATTGAGAATTTTTTAATATCCATATTTTAGTGCATATTTTGACCACATTTCTTTTATATTATATGACAGATTTAAGTTTATTTTGCATATTCAGTAATGCTCTAGTAATTCTCTATTATACACAATTAAATTTTTCTATTAAGGTATAATTCAATGCCGTCCTCAATGATAATAATGTAGCTATCATTATTTACTTTTAAATTACTAATTATATTTTCACTATCAGTATAAAAATGTATCAATATAAATTATTGTGGTTGGTTTCAACGTGTATAATAAGTAACCAGGTAGTTCGAGTTTGGCGTAGTGTATATTTTAAATGTTATTTACCCTATTTATTACACATTCTGTAAACCAAACAACAATTATGGACATTAATACAATGTAATACTAATAGCAATAATATTGGTAATAAAATTAGTTAGTAATACAAAATAAATAGCAATAAAATACTAAAAATATATTATATATTATTTTAAATATATTATTATATTATTGTCGGTGGCATTGGGTTAGAGACCGGCGCTCACAGACATGTTTAGGTGACCTCTGATTTTATAATAGTGTTTTAAACTCAGATATTACTTTTACTTTAAACTCATATGTATATTACATATTACATATGTATTATTATAAATGTTTAATTGATAAATAATAAAAAGTGTCCTTGTTTATTGTGCACAAAAACTATTTATTTGTTTATTTAAACATTTAACTAACAGTTATAACAACTTATAAAACAAAAATAAATATATTTACATTTTATGTTAACATTATGTTACAAAAAAATAATAATAAATAGCTATTAAAACTAATACATTTAGGACTGGACTGCCGGTACACCACTTCAACCTAATTTATATATTATATTATACATTATATTTAGTAATTTACATTTAATAATTAGTTATAACAGTTATAACTTTATTTAAAAAATTAAAAGAGAGAGACTTTTACATAACTATAAATTTACATTTTGCTTTTTAAAATAAAAGTACATCTTATCTAGATGGCATATAATAAGATAACGTCTAAAGATAACAATAGCTTAAAATAACAATTAAATGTAACTAGATGTAATTAAATGTAAATATTTAACTAAATAGAAATATAATTAAGTAAGTTAGCATATTTAAGCAATAATGTAAGTAATAAGCTAAAATATTCGTTATGATTACGGTCATTTTGCACCTATAGAATTCTACCACAATTATTGATATTGAATTATACAAAATAAATAATTATTTAAATTTTTTTAGAGTAATTGAATTTAGTTTAAAATAACTATAATTATTTATTGAATCAGAAGTACCTTGACAATTCAATAAATAAATAAATAAAAATAAATAAATATTTATGACAAAAATTAATTGTTTCCTGGAATTTGCTTTACTTTGCTTTCCTGTGTTTTGATTTAAAATTTTACTTTTATTATAACATTAGTTTTCATATCACAGATATTATCCATAAATTAATTTAAATTTATTATAAGTCTAAATATAAGTATGACTATAAAAGTGGTGAATAACGGGTCGGCCAAAACTGGCCCTAATGGCCATACCGGGGTCACCGGTGATACTACATCACCGGTAGCCACACCGGCCTATAAGCCAGTAATTAAGTATATGAATAGTCATATGATAGTTATGCCTGTTGTCCACTTGTCCGCCATTTATGGCCTGTATTTGGCGATAACTGTGGCCCAGTTTAAGACCATAATGTTTATGAATATATTGGCGATTTTGGCATCGTTTGGTTTTTTGGTAATTAAAATTAATTATATTATTTAAAATATAAAGTTATATTGCATAATTTTTTGTATTGATATTTGGGTTAAATTATATTATTATATGTAACATGATTTAGATTTTACGCATAAGCAACTAGATGATTAGTTTTACATAATGAATATTTAACTGCTTATTATATTTACTATATCTTAAAAGTTTATGTAATTTATAGTGATATCACATTTGGTTTATCTTTAATAGATACTGTATAATAACTAATTTAAAATGTTATTATTATATAATTATAATAACAGTAACCCATATAAATAGGTTGGAGGTCATAGGCTATGGTCGCACCGGGCATTCAAAGCCAAACTCCCGCTACAGATAATACTAATGATATTACAGACACTGGCTTTTGTTAGCTCTATATACGAGTGGTCTCGCGATCATCGGCTGCACCACAAACACAGCGACACCGACGCCGACCCATACAACTCCCGGCGCGGCTTTTTCTTCTCACACATCGGGTGGCTTTTCTACCGCAAACACCCCGATGTTATTGCTAAGGGCAAAACCATCGATGTATCTGACCTACTCGCCGACCCAGTGGTCAGTTTTCAGCACAAGTATTACTATTTGTTGGTGTTATTGATATGGGGTTTAGGGCCGGCGTATGTGCCCTATTGGTTGTGGTCGGAGTCGTTGTGGTGCTCGTGGTTTGTGGCAGTTATGCTCCGCTACTGTATATCATTGAACTTGAGTTGTTTGGTTAACAGCGCCGCACATATGTATGGCATGAAGGTATTGGTGAAATAGGACATGGGTGCTTGTGGTACCCCGTAATGCTTTTATCATGATAATTTTTATTTCATGTATTTTTTGCTGTTAAGCCGTACGACAAAACTATAGGTGCCGTTGAGGCAAATGTTAGGCACTTTTTGAACGGCGCCGGCTTTCATAACTATCATCACTCGTTTCCACAGTAATTATGTTTATTAAATTTTAATTAATTTAAAAATACTTTAAATATTTACAATTACAAAATTTAATAATCAAACAATTAAACTTATATTTACTTTATGTTATTATTGTTAACTTAGAAGTTTTATACTTAAAAAAGTTTACAAACATTTAAATATTTTTATCTGTTTTAATAAGGTTATATTATTATGTGAGTTTTCATAAGTGTATTATATGTTGCTTGTACAGTAATTAAATACACTTATTGAAAATATTTAATTATTACTATTTAATACATGTTGATAACAGGGATTACTCGTCTTCAGAGTTTGGTGCGATCGACTCATTCAACCCGTCGACGGTATTCATAGACACGTTTGCGGCCATCGGTTGGGCCTATGATCTGAAAAAGCCGTCCCTCGATGTGATGAATGGCCGTCGGATCAGATGCGGTGATAATAGTAACCAAATATCCAGATCCCGGCTGTCGGAGCAAATCGTGGGCTTAATTGCAATATTTATGCCCTTTTTGGCCATAACTATACTCCGTATGAATGTGTTTGTATGGCCTGTAATACCGATTGTCGTATACCTGATTGCATGCCATCCGCACGGCTTTAAAAATAAAAATTGATTTACAATTATTGATAAAAATAATTAGTATTTTACATGATTAATGATTGTGTTATATCATTATACTTTATATAACAATCTTGTAATGAATAGTAAGCTTTAAGCCTAGTTTACCAAGATTTAAAACACAAATATGTTTACACTTTTTAATATAACATTATTATAATATATTTTAAAATGCATGTTTCTTTTAAAGATGTCGTACTGTATTAGAATAAATATAGAATATTAAAAATATTATTATACTGTATAACATTTAATATCTATTATTGTTTCGATAAATTAATTAATTAATTCAAAGTAATGTTAATGGACTTTATTATTGTTTTACTGCATTTAAACAAAGGTATTTAAAGTATAGAACCTTTATATTACTCTATTTTATTGTTGTTTTTATGTTTAAATATTTCTTTTAAATATTCATAAATGAATTTATAATCAATTGATTTTGCGTTAAATATAGGGATTCGCCACAGAATTGCACTTTTCATCC